CGGGACTAGAACGCATTGTTTCCTGGTGATGGGCCCAAAGTCACCCAATTAGGTGGGACTAGAACTAACTGTTTCCTGTTGATTGGCCCAGTCACCCAATTAGGTGGGACTAGAACTCACTGTCTCCTGGTGATGGGCCCAAAGTCACCCAGTTAGGCGGGACTAGAACGCATTGTTTCCTGGTGATGGGCCCAAAGTCACCCAATTAGGTGGGACTAGAACTAACTGTTTCCTGTTGATTGGCCCAGTCACCCAATTAGGCGGGACTAGAACTCAACGTCTCCTGGTGATTGGCCCAAAGTCACCTAGTTAAGTGGGATAAGAACGCATCGTTTCCTGGTGATTGACCCAAAGTCACCCAATTAATCAGGACTAGAACTCAACGTCTCCTGGTGATTGGCTCAAAGACACCCAGCAAGCTTTCCTGCCTAAGGCGGGACTAGAACTCATCATCATCTGGTGATTGGCCCAGTCACCCAATTAGGCAGGACTACAACTAACCATCTCCTGGTTATTGGCCCCCAGTAGGCGGGACTAGAACTCACACTCTCCTGGTGATTGGCCAAACTCACCCAGTTGGCTTTCATGCCTAAGGCAAACTAGAACTCATTGTCTCCTAGCGATTGGCTTAAAATCACCCAGCCAGCTTTCCTGTCTAAGTCTGAACTAGAACTCACTGTCTCCCAGTTTCTAGCCCAGGCAAGAAAAACCACCCAGTTCAGGGAGCGCCAAGGACTCCACAGAAGTGATGCCGTGTGTCTGGTGACACCATTGTGCAAACAATCAAGAGCATTTGTGTCACTGGTCACATCCCCGTGGCTTCACCTTCACTCTACTTTTGTGTGGCCTTCTCGTTTTCATATGCCAGGGGGGTTCTGGGAACTGAAGTCCACTGCTTTGGAGTTTAGCAGGGTGAGAATACACGGGGCGGTTCAGCCACGAAGGTGATGTCATTTAGAACGGGTCCCCAACCTTGGCCACTTCAACTCCCAGAATTCCCCAGCCAGCATATCTTACTCTCTTGTAATCCCTTCCTCTGCAATCTCTCCACTTTGAGGGGGACAAGAGAGAAAGAAACCGACACGGCTGGCTGGGGAATTCTGGGAGTTGAAGTCCTCCACGCTTAAAAGTTGCCATGGTTGGTAGACTCCTGCATTTAGAAGAGAGGTCTCCAGCCGTGGCCACCTAAAGACTGATGGACTTCAACTCCCAGAATTCCTCAGCCAGAATTCTGGGAGTTGGTCTGTAGGTCTTCAGGTTGCCGTGGTGACCCATAACGCCTGCAGGGTGGTTCCACTAAGAAGGCTGAGCAGTGGTGTAATAATAGAATTTTCTCCAGAAGTTTTCTAGAACTTCTTTGGTGGTCTTGAGATGTTCGTATAACTAGTCTGGCTGGTGTTTTGGCGTCTTCTCTGCCTCTGCGGTCAACGTTTAGCTCTTCCAGAGCATTTAGGACTCTGGTGGCTAACCTGTTTGGGCTCTTGTGCCAAAAATTGTACGCTCGCGCTCGTGTGCCAGCACCCAGAAGGCAATGCGCATTCCCCCCACGCCCCCTACGCATGCACGCGCAATCCCCACTACCTCTGCTGCCCACTTACCTGCAATGCACCTCACAGCTGATTTTTGGTCGGTTTGAGGCCTTTTTCGGCCTCCCAGGAAGGCTTCTGCAGGCTTTGCAGGCCAAAAACTAGGCCCGTTTTGTCACTTGCGTATTTCCGGAAAAACAGGAAGTGATGAAATGGGCCTAGTTTTTGGCCTGCAGAAGCCTTCCTGAAGCCTCTGGGAGGCCGAAAAAGGCCTCAAACCGGCCGAAAATCAGCTGTGAGGCACGCACATGTGCAGTGAAGTAAGTTTGCCTGTAGGTTGCGTGCCACCTGTGTGGCACGCATGCCATAGGTTCACCATCACAGGTTTAGGACGACCCTAAACTCCTCTTCCTTGAGGAGCGCTTCCCCTTCAAACCAAGCTCTGTGGTCCTCACTGGTGTCCACCCATGGTGACGTTTCCCTCTTTCTTTCCAGAAGCTGAGCTGTGGCATGCAGGCGGATGAAGGGACCGACTGGTTACTCGAACTCCTGACCGAAGTGCAGCTTCAGCAGTACTTCCTCCGGATCCGCGATGACCTCAACGTCACTCGCCTGTCGCACTTTGAGTATGTCAAGAATGAGGACCTGGAGAAAATCGGAATGGGGAGACCAGGTGAGCGGCCCTCCAGCCTACCCCACCTCCTTGGACCCAGACGTTTTGCAACCTATTAGGGTGGAAAGAAGCAATGGCAGGGTTTTGTGATTTTTGCAACGGTCATGACAGAGATCAAACTTTCTTTTGCTCAGTGAGATAGTGGTTAAGTGAGTTTTGCCTCATTTCGTGCCACGATGGTTGAGCGAATCCCTGCAGTTGTTAAGCAAGTGAGTTCCGGATTCTCCATTGACGTTGTGGTTCGCTGGCAGCCTGTGCAGACGGCAGCGGAATCGGACAGTGGGGAAGAAAGGGGATCAGTCTGGGGAGGACTCGGACGAGGGTCCTGTGTCCGATGGAGAGATGGGGCCAGGACCATCTGGGAGTGGGGTGCGGACTCCGGAGCCTTTGGAGTCTGGCAGCAGCAAGGAAGAGGAACAAGGGGAGCCTGTTCCCAGTGAGCGTATGCACAGAGCTGCTAGATGGTGAGAGCAGCTGAGACAAAAGGGGCAACTCAGGAATAAGGCTGGGAAGTGATTGCCCCTCCCATAAGGGATAAAGGACAGGCAAAGGTGAAGAAACCTTTGCAGAAAGCAAAGTCGTTCGTTCAGTTCAGATTCATCCTTGAAGCTTATTAGGAATATAAGTCACCTAACAGCTATTTGGGTTAGAAATATATAAACCAGGATAAACATTTTCGTACTATGTCTTTAAGAGATTGCAAAAACTGCAATTGGGTGTGGTTTTTCAAAAGGCCATAAGATGGAGCCAGAAACCTGGATTGTTTTAGTCTTAGTATCAGAAGAGAGTGTGTCTGAGTGAGTATCTCTGTTTCCTTCTGTTGGAAAGTGTTGCTGTTCCTCCATTTCTTCTAATTGACTGATATTACTGGATTTAATGTAAGTCTGATACTGAACTGTTTTTTTGACACTGGAATTTTATATTTGGATTACCCCTGGATTCAAACTGACTGACTTTACCTGCGAATGACTTTGGATTGCTTATTTTGGACTTTGCTTAAACCTTTCTGGAAGTAAAAACCTACATTTACTGTACAGTGTATCTGTGTGCTCTGTGTGTATTATTCAAACACTCCTCTCAAATACATCTCCCTGTATGCACTCATTCTCCTAACGGGGAATTACCTCAACAAAGCTCTTTGTACTTCGGTTGGTTTTTTTTCCTAGTTCATTTGACATTTCTGTTGTTGACAGCACTTCACAGGACAGAAAGGTGGGTGCTTATCTCGAGGGACTGTTTGAGATTCATTACCAGCTGGGAATGAAAACAATTCCCAACGTTGCAATAAAACAAGACTTATTTTTAAAATAAGCGTATGTGTAATTAACGGTCTCAGAAGCCTTGGTCAGAACAATTGACTTGGCTGGTCAAAAGGTCGCAAAAGGGAATCCTGGGACACAGCAGCTGTCATAAATACGAGTCAGTGGCCAAGCGCCTTAATGTTGATTACGTGACCGCTGCAACGGACGTTAAGTGGGAAAAACGATAACAAAGGCCACCTTTTTCCAGCACCGCTGTAACTTCGAACGATCACTAAACGAACTGTTGTAAGACGAGGCCTATCTCTAGCGCAGAAGACCAATTTTAAAGCAATGTTTTCATATGCAGGTAGTCCTCGATTTACGACCACAGTGGAGCCCACAGATTCCGTGGTTAAGCAAGACATCTCGATGAATTGCGTCCTGTTTTACGACCGTTTTTGTCCCAGTTAAGCGAACCCATCGCCGTTGTTAAGTGAATCGTTCGATTGTTAAGCGAATCTGGCTTTCCCCTCACTGACTTCGTTGAACAGATAATCAGAGTTGGAAGGGACCTTGTAGGTCATCTAGTCCAACCCCCCCTGTCCAAGCAAGTTTCTCGGAGGCTGGCTGGGAAGGTCACAAAATGGGACCCTAGGACATTGCTAAACACATGCTGAACCCCTGAATTTTGATCATGGGGAGGTTGCATCTGTCATAAGTCACTTTTTCCAGTGTCATTGTAACTCTGGTCACTAAACGAACGATTTAAGTCGAGGCCTAGCCGTAGGTAAAGTTTGAGAACTTCTAATTTCAGTGTTTTGGAACTGGCTGGATTAGAGTGAAACAGAGCTCGTAGCGCCAACTTTCTATAAAGTTGGTGGAATTACCTAGCCCCCCCCAAAAAAAACTTCCAACGCGGAGCAAGTACGTAGAACAGACTATCTGTTGATTTTTTTCTCCCCCCTGGTTTTGTGACTGCTTGTTTTATTTCTGTAGGTCAGAGACGCCTCTGGGAGGCCGTGAAGAGGAGGAAGGCTGTGTGCAAACGGAAATCCTGGATGAGCAAGGTGAGAGAAAGAGCGGGGAGGAGGGGCTCCTGAGGACTAGAAACCTGGCAGAATCTTTAAAAAGAAAAACAGAAAGGTTTATGGGCCAATCACCAGGAGACTGTGAGTTCTAGTCCCACTTTCGGCACGAAAGCAGGAGTGGTTGACTTTGGTGAGTTCTAGTTTTCTGCCTTTACTGTGAAAGCCGGCTGGGTGACTTTGGGCCTCTTTCTCAGCCCAAACTACCTCGCAGGGTTGTTGTAGTGTGAAAAAAATTTGGAGGAGGAAGGCCTATTAGGTTGTAGGTAGGATAAAAAGAAAAATCTATATATAAAACAAGCGAAATGCCCCTCACGCATCATCACAAAAACTCCAGAACCGTAAAGCCTACAAACTTGAAATTTGGCACGTATGTTTCCTCTTGGCTTCTAGGGGCTCACTAAGAAAGGATTTTTCCAAATGACCCTCAGAGCATTTAGAGTATTCCCTATATTATTATTATTAACACGCTCTGATGCTAAGGAGTTCTACTTCCCACCTGGAAAGAAATCTCTTCCAAATGCAAAACACAAGCAGAGGAGAGGAGTTTCAGTTTTATAGCACCAAGCAGCTTTTAGTACAGAACAGTTGAGCTAAGCCCCGCCCAGGCTCCTTGCTGTCTCCTTGCTCACACAGCAAATACTGTTTCAGTTTCCAAACAGCCCTCAACTCTGACACACTGACAGGATGCTAGCCAGAGGAATCCCGATGGATGCTGGCAGGCAGAGGCAGAATTTTTTGTCCCCCCCTTATTTTCCTCCACAAAAATCTAGGCCCGGCCACATAGTTCCGTTAGCGAAGCACGGGGATCGATGCTAGTAAATAAATCAACCGGACTTCCTCTCCGTCACAACTTCGGCCGCCCGTCTTTGTCCCCTGACGCCCGTCTGCCGTCTCCCTCACAGGTCTTCAGCGCGAAGCGCCCCGACTCGGAGATGCCCCCGTTGCCCCCGAGTCTCTTGAGTAAGCAGCCGAGCCCGGTGGCCCTTGAGGAGGCGCAGCAACAGGCCCTGACCTGCCTCATCAGCGAGAAGGACCTGGTGTTGCTGGAGAAACTGGGCGACGGTTCTTTCGGCGTGGTGCGCCGCGGGGAGTGGTGCGCCCCGTCGGGCAAGTTGGTAAGCGATTACAAGGGGGTGCCGCTGCTGCTGCTTCCGGCTAGCCAGGTTTTATTTTAAGAACAAGACTTTAAACTCCCGGGAGTAAGTTCCGTCGAAGAGCGGACTTTGAAGAGGGGTGGACTTCCAACTCCCAGAATTCCCCCAGCCCCCTCTTGGAGGAGTTGAACTTGGGAGTTGGAAGTCCCACACGTCTTCAAAGCGGCCAAGGTTTGGACGCCTGGACTAGATGATCTTTGGAAGTCCCTCCCAGGTTTACAATTATAAAGTGCAAACCTCTCAGAAACCAAAGGAAATAGGATAACCTTTATTGTCGTTTTTTTTTTTTTACAGTGGGCACACTGGCACACCTTAAGAATGACTTGGACTGAGAATAACTTTTATTGTCACTTTGGATGTGCCCTAATCAGCATACATTAAAATGAAATTTCGTTGCATAACGGCTCCCAAAGGATCTCCACCTGCAATATACACTACATCAACGTGACAAAATAAATAGAAATTCTGTTGCCTGTTCTTAAAAGTGTACACATACACAACACACATACACATGCTATATACATAATCTATATATCTATCCATTTATCATATTCATGTATCCATTTATTTATTTATCCATCCATCCTTCTGTATTCATCTATCCATATATCCATCCATATATCCATCTATTTATGTACCTATCCTACTATATTCATCTATTCATCGATATATCCATCTATCTTTCTATATTCATCTATCCATCCATCCATCTATCCACCCTTCTATATTCATCTATCCATCCATCCATCTATTCATGCAACTATCCTATATCCATCCATCCATCCATATATATCCCTCTAACTACCCTATATTCATCTATCCATCCATCTTTCTATCCGTCATCCTTCCATCTATCCATCCTTTTATATTCTGTCCATATATCCATCTACTTATGTAACTATCCTATATTCATCCACCCACCCATCCATTCATGTATCTTTCTATATTCATCTATCCTTCCTTCCATCCATCCATCCATTCATCTATCTATATTCATCTATCCATCCATCCATCCTTCTATATTCATCCCTCCATCCATCGATCCTTCTACATCCATCCCTCTACCTATCTGCACCAATACATACCAATGTTTATAATCCCTGTCCATCTTCAGTACGTATCGGAAAGAGGAAGCTTGAGAGCATAAAGCCTACCAACCTGGCGTCTGATTTGGCAGGTGGATCTAGGCACGGTCCGGGATCCAATTCTAGATCTGGCGGCGGGAGAGGTTGATCACCCTTTCCTTCCCTTCCGCAGCTGAACGTGGCGGTCAAGTGCCTGAAGACGGACGCCCTGAACCAGCCGGACGCCCTGGACGACTTCATCCGTGAAGTCAACGCCATGCATTCCCTGGACCATGTCAACCTCATCCGCCTCTACGGCGTGGTGCTCTCCAACCCCATGAAGATGGTGAGGGACCCCACCCACCCCCGGCATTCCCCACTCCAAAAACCCCTGGAGGAAGACGCCCGGCCTGGGAGAACAACGGGGATTGGGGAGGGGGGTGTCTGTGATCTTGATAATGGGTAGTCCTCAACGTAATGCCTGTAAATCATGGTCCTAAGATGGTCATTAAGTGAACCACGATGTGATTACACCCCGTTTTTGCAACCTTTTTTGCAGCGGTCGTTAAGTGAACCCAGTGGTCATAAACTAAGTGAGTCCCAGCAGTCGTTAAGCAAGTCCTGGCAGTCATTGAGTCCCAGCAATAATTAACCGAGCCCAGCAGTCGCTAAGCGAGTCCTGCCAGTCATTAAGCAGACCCAGCAGTCTTTTAAGGAGTCCTGGCAGTCATTAAGCGAGTCATTAAGCACGCCTTTACTGGCTACACACACACACACACACAGTTTTGTGGACATGGTATCTTGCGCCTCGGAGGGCTTCCTAAGACCTAACCCCCCCCCCCCCCCCCCATTCTTGTGTCCCCCTCTGCCACTCAGGTGACCGAACTGGCCCCGCTGGGCTCCCTGCTGGACCGCCTGCGCAAGAACCTGAGCCACTTCCTGATCGCCACCCTCTGCCACTACGCCATCCAGATCGCCCGCGGCATGGCCTACCTGGAGTCCAAGCGCTTCATCCACCGCGATCTGGCTGCCCGGAACATCCTGCTAGCGGCCAACGACCTAGTCAAGATTGGAGACTTCGGCCTCATGCGCGCCTTGCCCAAAAACAACGACCACTACATCATGCAGGAGCACCGCAAGGTCCCCTTCGCCTGGTGAGAGTCTCCCCCCACCCCGGTTTCCAAGGACACTGGGCTGCGTTCACACCAGTGGGGGGGAGTGTCGGGATTCCGGCCGTCGCCCCCAATTAAATCACGAGTCTCGAGCCCAGCTTCAAAAGACATCCAGTTATTTATCAGGAACGTCATGTCGGCACGGACCAAGTGGAGCCAACTCTGACCCTCAGTTAATTCGCCTCTGGCCCTCTTTCCCCCTCCCTCCAAGAATGTGTCAATCAAGTCACATTCCTCAACGAAGCAGTTTCGCGGGGTGTAGAAGTCACCCGGTGGGTTTCCGTGGAGATGACCTTGACGTTGCCGGGTTGGAATGTGCTTTGTTTTGTGACTGTAAGTGCAACCTCGATGCAGTTGCGGGGTTCACTTTCCCATTCCCCCTTAACCTCTGGCAACTCGAGACAGGTCAGGTGTCAGGATTCCAGCCGTTTCCCTCAATTAAATCACGAGTCTCGAGCCAAACTTCCAAAACTTCAACAGGATTTATTGGGAGTTAACATGTCCGGCGCTGCCTGGGTGTAGCCGACTCTAAGACACATCATTCATTGTCACTCTTGACCCTGGTTTTCCCTCCACCTCCCTGGGTGTATTCTAATTCATATTCTCCAATGGGACACATCCATAGCCCAGAGTCTTCAATCAGGCTCTCTCCAGTTAGATATTTGCATGGCAGAAACTTCAGTCGCCTAGTTTTACTATCTTTGAAAAACTACATGTGTATGGAATGCGCTTTCAGTTTCCAAGCTGCCACACTGCTGTTTAAAATCCCTTCCCCCCCCCCCCCCTTTTAAAAACCATAGAAATATTTTAGGAGTTGACATACCGCTTCACAGCCCTTCTCTAAGCTGTTTTACACAGTCAGCCTCTTGGCCCCCAACAATCTGGGTCCTCATTTTACCGACCGTGGAAGGACGGAAAGCTGAGTCAACCTTGACCCCGGTTTTCCCCCCCCACCCCTGGGGATATCGTAATTATTCTCCAACCTGCCCACCAAGCCATGCCCACTGAACCGAATTCAAATGGTAAAACCATTTTAATCCCACCACTGGGTTCACGCAACACGCCGAAGCTGTTCTTTCCCCCTGTTCTTGTTGCTCCTGGCCCTTGGGGCTCTCTTGAGCTGGGTGGTTTCCTCGGCAGACGTTTCATTACCCAGCTAGGTAGCGTCATCAGTGCTCAGCTGGTGATATATTACACCAGATTATAGTGTCAGCGCTATTCTAACGTTGCCTGCTTTGGTAATGAAGCAGCTGCGACAAAGCAACCAAACTCGGAGAGCACCAAGGATCCTACAGTCGTCCTTCTTCTCCTTCCGGCGCTGATGGTGTTACCTAGTTGGGTCATGAAACGTCTGCGAGAAAACCAAGCTCAGAGAAGCACCCACAGTCGTTGTCCTCCTCCTCCTCCTCCTCTCTGCAAACCCCCCTCCCTTCTAGTTCTGATGATGTTACCTAGTTGGGTCATGAAACGTCTGCAAGAAATGTGAAAATGACTAACCTCGGAGCACCAAGGACCCCAGAGTTGTCCTCCTCCTCCTCCTCCTCCTCCTCCTCCTCCTCCTCCTCCTCCTCCTCCTCCCCATCACCACTCCATAAAGAGCCAGGCTCAGAGAGCACCAAGGTCCCCAACATTCAACCCTGAGTTAAAACATGCTCTACTCTCAGAACCCGTTATCTTAAATTAACACCCTGTCTCGCTTCACGGATGCTTTCCTGCTTAGAGCAGGACTAGAACTCACCGTCTCCTGACGATTGGCTCAAAGTATCCCAGCTGGCTTTCGTACCTAAGGCAGTACTAGAATTCACCGTCTCCTGGTGATTGGCCCCCAAAGCTGCCTCTCTTCCTAAGGCGGTACTAGAACTCACATTCTCCTGGCGATTGGCTCAAAGTATCCCTGCTGGCTTTCATACCTAAGGCAGGACTAGAACTCACCGTCTCCTGGTGATTGGTCCAAAAGCTGTCTCTCTTCCTAAGGCGGTACTAGAACTCACCATCTCCTGGTAATTGGGCCCGCCCAGTCAGCTTTGTTCCCTTAAGCGGGACTAGAACTCCCCAACACCTGGCAATTGGCCCAAAGTCACTCATTTGGCTTTCGGGCAATTCTAGAACTCGGATCTCCCAGATTCTGGTCTCTTGTGGCTTAACCACTAGAGTCTGAGCATGCATCCATGACTCTTTAACTAACCAGGTTAAGCATTGAAGACTCACTCCCCAGCCGCGTGTCAACTCATAAAACATTTCTCTGGTCTTTTTAGAGTTGCCAACAGAAAGGGAAGGAGGACAGAGCAATGCGGCAGCTTGCAAACCGAAAGTGCATTCCATAAATGTTTTCAAAGCTAGTAACTAGGTGACTTAAAGTTTCTGCCATGCAAAATTCTAACTGGAGGGCACGATTGATGACTCTGGGCTATGGCTGTGTCCCATTGGAGAATATGATTTATGACACACCCAGGGGTTGGGGGAAAACCAGGGTCAAAGGTGACAATGAATGATGTGCCTCAGAGTCGGCTGCACCCAGGCAGTGCCGGACATGTTTGACTCCCAATAAATCCTTTTTTAAGTTTTGGAAGTTTGGCTCGAGACTCATGATTTAAATGGAGGGCGACTGCCGGAATCCTGACACTGTGTGCAACTCGCAGGTTGATGGGGATCTGAGAACCCTGTTCTTTGGGGACCCTGGGCGTGGATTATGGGATCAGTGGCTCTCGGCCTTGAGAACTTGAGCGTGACGACCTCTCTGCTTTCTCTCCCCCCCCTGGGCTGCCCTCCCCCCCCCCCCCACCCTGGATCAGGTGTGCCCCGGAGAGCCTGAAGACGCGCACCTTCTCCCATGCTAGCGACACCTGGATGTTTGGCGTGACCCTCTGGGAGATGTTCACCTACGGACAGGAGCCGTGGGTTGGCCTTAATGGCAGCCAGGTATGACGGGAAAGGCCGGTGTGTGTGTGTGTGTGTGCGCGCGTACGCGTGCAGGGAGTCCTCAACGGCCACAGCAGACCCCAACATTTCTGTTCCTAAGCGAGACAAATCTTTCTCCTATTTTATGGCTTTTCTGGCCATCGTCGTTAAGTGAATCGCTGCAGTCGTTAAGATAGTAACCCGGTTGTTAAGTGAATCCATCTTCCCCGTTGATTCCGCTTGTCAGAAGGGGATCCCAGGACACTGCAACTGTCATAAATACGAGTCAGTGACTAAGCCTCTGAAGATGTTATCACAGGTTATTCCTCAACGTACGACCGCAGTTGAGCCCAGCATTTTGTTTGTTAAGCGAGTCATCGGTTAAGTGAGTTTTTCCCGATTTTACGAGCCTCCTTCCCCCACGGCTGTTAAATGAATCCTTGCCGTTGATGAATTAGTAACCCGGTCGTTAAGTGAATCCGGCTTGCCCCATGGTCAGAAGGTCGCGAAAGGGGATCCCATCACCCAAGGACGCTGCGATCGTCATTAAGTATGACTCCCGTTGCCAAGCATATCAATTTTGATCCCACCACTTTGTGGATGCTGCAACGGTCGTAATACAAAACTCGGTCATAAGCAGGGGTACGATTCAACCCGGTGGAACAACCTGTTCGCTCACAGCTGATCCTCGGAGCAACCGGTTTGCTCGAATCAGGCCGAACCGGTAGAATCCCACCTCTTGGTCATAAATCACTGCTTTCGGTGTTTTGTGGTTCGACGGCAGCGGAATCGGACAGTGGGGAAGAACGAGGACCAGTCCGGGAGTCTGGGGACGACTCGGACGAGGGTCCTGCGTCCGATGCAGAGATGGGGCCAGGACCATCTGGGAGTGGGGTGCTGCCTCCAGAGTCTGGCAGCAGTGAGGAAGAGGAACCAGGGGTACCTGTTCCTAGTGCATGTATGCACAGAGCTGCCAGAAGGCGAGAACAGCTGAAACGAAAGCGGCGACTCCGGGAGTAAGGCTGAGAGGTGACTGCCCCTCCCATAAGGGATAAAGGTCAGGCAAAGGTGAAGAAACCTTTGCAGGAAGCAAGGTCGTTCAGTTCAAATTCATTCTTGAAGCTCTTTGTACTTCGGTTAGTTTTTTTTCCTAGTTTATTTGACACTTCTGCTAATTGGCAGCACTTCACAGGGAAGAAAGGTGAATGCTTATCTCGAGGGACTGTTTGAGATTCATTCCCGGCTGGGAATGAAAACAATTCCCAGCGTTGCAATAAAGCCAGACTTGTTTTTTAAAATGAGCGTGTGCGTAATGACGGTCTCGGAAGCCTTGGTCAAGAACACTTGTAGCCATTGTAACTTTGGTCACTAAATGAACCATCGTAAGTGGAGGACTACCTTGTCCTCGACCACGGAGATGCTGCAAGGGTCCTAAGGGTTAACAGGAGCCCAAAGTCCCTTCTTTTTCCCTTGTAACCGTCATTAAACGAACAGAGATTAAGTCGAGGACTATCCGTAACGCTTCCCAGGCTGGAACTGGCAGCTTTCCAATCAAAACCCCCATTTCCCCCCCTTCCCCCCGCCCCCAATGGCTCCTAAATTCTGGCTTTCCTCCCAATCAGATTCTGCACAAGATCGATAAGGAAGGCGAGCAGCTCCCCCGACCAGAAGATTGCCCCCAAGATATCTACAACGTCATGTTGCAGTGCTGGGCGCACAAGCCGGAGGACCGGCCCACCTTCGTCGCTCTGCGGGATTTCCTCCTAGAGGTAAGGAAGGAAAGACCTGGGCGACGCCCCGTTCGCTTCCCGTCTTGACTACTGCGGTGCCCTCCGCGTGGGGCGGCCCTTGGAAACTCTCCGAAACCCTTCAAATGGGGTTCAAAATGCAGCGGCCTGCGTCCTCGACTTAAACGACCACGACTGAGCCAAGTGGTGGGATTCAAATGTATTTATTTTTATTACTGGTTCAGTAATAATCATCTTGTCCCACGTGATGGAAATGTAGGAAAAACCCAGGAATTTTGGCACAGAATTCAGAGGTGGCTTGAGGAGGTGGTAGGACCGTGATGGCAAACCTATGGCATGGGTTCCATAGGTGGCAAGAGCGGAGCCATTTGTGCGCATCTCCCAGCTGATTTTCGGCCCGTTGGAGGCCATTTTCGGCCTCCGGGAGGCTCGAGGGGAAGTGTTAGGAATAACATAGGTTACCTAACGTAGTTTGGGTAAAATAATATATATAGACTATGATAGTGAGTTTAAGTGTGTGTCACTTTAACTGTAAAGCAATGTAATTTTGTGTGCGGCTGTAAAGTGCCAGAAGAGGGAGCAAGAGAACTGGATTGATTGCTGGCTTACTGGATTGCTTGCTGACAATGATGGATTGTTAACTGCGTGTTCTCTGCTGTTGCTGAAGGAAGAAAGGAGGTTTGACTTCTTCATATCTCTACTGAAGAGATATATTACTGGACTGATATTTGTAAGTTTACTGACCTCTTTTTCGACACTGGACTTTGCAACTGAATAATCCCCGGACGGACTGAACTAGTGTGTGATATATGGACTGTTTGACTATGCTAAAACTCTTACTGGAATAAACTATTTAACTAGCACATTGTATCTGTTTTACTGAGTGTAAGCTACAAAAACGTTTGTCTCACATATTTGCCTGCCTGCCTGACTGCTGTGCAGGTTCTGCTAGGGTGTATATCCCTAACAGGAAACCTCTGCAGCCTCAGGAGGCAGAAAAAGGGGCCTTCCGGAAGTGCCAAAATGGGCCCATTTTAGCCTCCCAAGGTCCCATTTTATGACCCTTAGTTTGTTAGGGATATACACCCTAGCAGAACGTGCAACGGCAGTCTAGCAGACAGGCAGATATGTGAGACAAAACGTTGTAGTAGCTTACACTCAGTAAGACAGATACACTGTGCAAGTTAAATAGTTTTTATTCCAGCAAGAGTTATAGCATAGTCAAAACAGTCCATATATCATACACTAAGTTCAGTCCATCCGGGGCTTATTCAGTTTGCAAAGTCCAGTGTCGAAAAAGAGTTCATTAAACTTACAATCAATCAGTCCAGTGATATATCTCTTTTGCAGTCAGAGATATGAAGAAAATCAAACCTCCTTTCTTCTTCTCAGCAAACACGCAGTTATCACCATCAATTCATCATTGTCAGCATTCCAGTATAAGCCAAGCAAACAGTGAGCTCTCTTGCTCCCTCTTATGGTGATTTTTACAACCGCATCCAAAAACTTGGTTTACAGTTTAAAGTGATACATACACTTAAACTCACTAACATAGTTTATATATTATTTTACCCAAACTAAGTTAGGTAACCAATGTTATCCCTAACATGCGGCAGGCAGGAATCCGCGATCATGCGCAGTTTCTGCCTGGGCTCGCCGCTGGAGCGCCCCGAGCCAGCTGGCTTCGGGGCTAAGCCACCCCGTAGAGGTGGGGAAGACGGGGGAAGACCCGGCAGGGTCGAGGGGAGCCGCACCTCTCCTCCTCAGCTGGCTAAAACTCCCTTTCCCGAAGGCGGTAAGAGCGGCGGTCAGAAATGGCCGCCTCAAAGAAGCACTCAGCTGGAAAAGGAAGTGCAGGAGGAAGTTAAGAAGGGAAAGTTTTTGGCTGACCGGGACAAAAAGCAGCCACTGAAAGTTTTTAAGAAGAGACTGGACAGCCCCTCATCTGAAATGGTTATAGGGTCTCTCCTGCTCAGGGGGCTGGATTAGAAGACCTCGAAGGCCCCTTCCAGCTCTATCCTGATTCTGATCAGTTGTTAAGGGAGTGACCCAGCTGTTAAGCGAATCAGGCTGCCCCATTGACTTTGCTCGTCAGAAGGTCACAAAAGGGGAATCCCGGGATGCTGCCACCGTCATAAATATGAGTCAGTTGCTAAGCTTTTGACCGTAGGGAAGTTGCAGTGGTCGTAAGTGTGGAAAAAACAGGCCTAAGTCACCTTTTTTAGTGCTGTTGTAACGTTGAACGGTCACTAAATGAACTTGTTGTAAGTCGAGGACTACCTCTGAACTTTGGTTCAGAGATGTCACCCGCCAATCTTCCCCTTTTTCTTCCTCCCCCAGGCTCAACCCACGGATATGCGGGCTCTGCAGGATTTTGAAGAACCAGACAAACTTCTGATCCAGATGAACGATATAATCACGGTCATCGAAGGAAGGTAATGGAATAGAATAGAATTCTTTATTAGCCAAGGGTGATTGGTGCAAATGCTTTCAGTGTACATAAAAGAAAAGAGACATTCGTCAAGAGTCAAGAATCATCAGGGACAACACTTAATGATAGTCATAGGGTACAATAAGCCATCAAATCATACAAGGAAACAGTCCATATAAATTGTAAGGATACAAACGACAAAGTTACCGTCATACAGTCACAAGTGGGAGAGGATGGGCGATAAGGAGTGATGAGAAGATTAATAGTAATAGTAGTGCAGACTTTGTAAACAGTTGGACAGTGTTGAGGGAATTATTTGCTTAGCAGAGTGATGGCGTTCGGGGAAAAACTCCCCTTGTGTCTAGTTGTTCTGGTGTGCAGGGCTCTATAGCGTCATTTTGAGGGTGGGAGTTGAAACAGTTTATGTCCAGGATGTGAGGGGTCTGTAGATATTTTCACAGCCCTCTTTTTGACTCAGGGTGCAGGATACAGGTCCTCCATGGAAGGCAGGTGGGTAGCCATTGTTTTTTCTGCAGTCCCAATTCCTCTCTGGAGTCTGTGTCTGTCCTGTTGGGTTGCAGAACCGAACCAGACAGTGATGGAGGTGCAGAGGACAGACTCCATCCTTCCTCTGTTGAACTGGATCAGCAGCTCCTTGGGCAGTTTGAGCTTCCTGAGTTGGCGCAGAAAGAACATTTATTTGTGGTGCTTTTTTGATGATGTTTTTGATGTTAGGTGTCCATTTTAGGTCATGTGATATAGTAGAACCTAGAAATTGGAAGGTGTCTACTGTTGATACCGTGTTGTCTAGTATTGCAAGAGGTGGTCGTATGGGAGGGTTTCTCTTAAACTCTACCATTTCTACGGTTTTGAGTGTGTTCAGTTCCAGATGGTTCCGGTTACACCGCAAAGTGTATGCCTAATCTGATCATTTTATCTTAGTTTTTTTTTAATCCTGCCTTTCTTATTTGTATACATAACTCAAGGTGTGGCAGACATACCTAATATTGCTTCCTCTTCCTCTTTTTCCCATAACAACAACCCTGTGAGGTTGAATGGCCTGAGAAAGATGGTTGTTGTTAGTTGTTAGTCGCGAAGTTCTGTCCGACCCATCGTGGCCCCATGGACAACGTTCCTCCAAGCCTTCCTGTCCTCTACAATCCCCTGGAGTCCATTTAAGCTCGGTGACTCCATCCAGCCACCTCATTCTCTGCCATTCCCTTCTTTTTTTTTTGCCCTCAACCTGTTGTGGCCCACCAGCGGCCAGTGGAGCTGGGGGCAGACTCGGACAGTGAGGAGGTTGGGGAAGAACATGGGCCAGCCTTGGAGTCTGGGGAAGGCTCGGACGAGGGCTCTGTGTCGGAGGCAGAGATGGGGCCAGGGCCGTCCGACCGTTAGCAGCTGCCTTCGGAGTCAGAGATCAGTGGAGAAGAAGAACAGCTGGAGCCTGTTCCCAGTGTGCTCATGCACAGAGCCGCCAGAAGAAGGGAACAGTTAAGGAACAAGGGTTGACTTGGGACTAAAGGCTCAGGTGGACGGTGAATGGCCCCCTCCCTTAGGGAATAAAAGAGGAGCGAAAGGGGAATGGGGTTTGCAGGAGACAATTAGTTCAATTCATTAGGGTGAAGGTCTGTTCCTGACTTCCTCCTAAGTAATTGCTGCTACAGTGTGGCGTTTGGAAGCTATCTGCCTGGCAACTCTCCCAGCCTGATAAAGGTCTGTCGTTGTGAAATCTCACGAAAGACTGTTCGCTGGGAGGAATTCACTTTAACCTAAATAAAGGGGGTTTATTGGGATGAGGAGTCGGCTTCGTGATCTTGGGAAGGTCTAGGTCACAACACAATCGTTCCCAGCATTCGGCTCTTCTCCAAGGTGTCCTTCCTTCTCACGAGGTGGCCAAAGTCTTTTGAGTTTTATCTTCAGGATCTGGCCTTCTAAAGAGCAGTCAGGGTGGATCTCCTGTAGGACTGACCGGTTGGATGGCCTTGCAGTCCAAGGGACTCCCATTAGCCTTCTCCAGCACCAGGGTTCAAAGGCCTCCGTTCTTTGGTGCTCGGTCTTCCTTGTAATCCAACTTTCACAGCCATGTGTTGCAACTGGGAAAACCATAGCCTTGGTTCTACGCACTTTTGATACCTCTGCTGTTTAGTATGCTGTCTAGATTTGCCATAGCTTTCCTCCCCAGGAGGAAGTGTCTTAATTTCTTGGCTGCAGTCCCCATCTGCGGTGATCTTGGAGTCCAGCAAAATAAAACCTATCACTACCTCCGTTTCGTCCCCATCTTGCCAAAAATTGAGGTGTGTATATATACATATATACGTGCGTGCACACACACACACACACACACACACCGCTGTGTGAAAAAGTCCTGCACGGTTTACGGTTTATGACATTTTTTTGGATAGGCCATTGATTTTATGATATTGTATGCTAATTGCTGCGCAAATATTGTTATATTTAAATAAATACTGGTGGTTTTTAAGTGAAAAGCATCAGCTATTTGCAATTTGGTGCTGTTTGGATGGGGATTGTGAATTTTCTTGCATGCTTACAATGACTATGGAACATGTTGCAATTATTAAGGCCAATGCTAGTGTTTTGTTAACATTTTTTGTTGGTGGCCCTGAAAATTATTAAACGTTTGAATACAGTGTATTATCAGGGCATATCATTTACAGGAAAGCAAAGAAAAAACAAAAAGGAATATTAACATATATATACTAATAACAATAATAATAGTGTAACAGAATACTTTTAATTAAATTTCTCCTTATATTAGCTTATTTGTAATTCTGTTGGTTATATTGGCATACTTATAATTATAAACCATCTTTATATTTAATTCATACATAGCAATAATTTTCCTTCATCTAATTTCTACCTCTTATCTCTAACCACTTGTAAAATCGATTCCATGTTGAGTAATATTCTGTGTCTTCATTGTCTTTTATTTTTAATGTCAATCTATCCATCTCTGCACAGTCTTAATATTTTCCGAATTACATCTTAATCTAATGGAGTGTTCTCATTTTTCCAGTATTGTGCAAATACAATCCTTAATGCTCTCGATATATGCAAAATTAGAGTTGTAGTCCCTCTATCTGTTTGCCAGAAATTAAGAGGGCCAGATGCCATAATCTTAGTTTTCTTAATGTTTGAGTTTTAAGCCAACTTTTCCACTCTCCTCCTTCACCCGCATCAAGAGGCTGTTGAGTTCCTCTTCACTTTCTGCCATTAGAGTGGTATTATCTGCATATCTGAGGTTGTTTTTTATATATAAATTTTTTATGTTACTTTTAATACAAACAGTCCATCTTTCATTAAACAGCGTGTCTGGGTACAAATATCTTGTATGATAACAATTAAAATGTACAGCCATTACATTACTATTAATTCTCTATTCTCTATTCTTAATACTGATACTGATACTAATTATGATAACAATCCACATCTTAACTTATTTAATTCTATTAACATATTTTCTATATTTCACTAATCTTTTGTTTCTAACTCATACTTATTCTCTAACCATTGATAAAATAATTCCCATATCCTATAATATTCAGTTTGTTCCTTCTCTTTAATTGCAAATGTTAACCTATTCATTTCTCCACATTCTAATATTTTCCTGATCACGCGCTCTTCACTTTCCCAGTTTTGTGCAAAGACAATTTTAGCTGCAGTTAATGCATGAATAATCAAATATACATGCTCTATTATAAATTTCAGGTAAGATCCCCCAATATGCTGCTGTACTTTATGGTAAGCTAGCAAAAAGTGGGATAGATTGCACCACCACCAGATGGACTCGTAACTGGCTGGCAAACCGTACTCAACGAGTAGTCCTTAATGGGTCTAAGTCTACCTGGAGGGAAGTAAGCACTGGGGTGCCACAAGGTTCCGTCTTAGGCCCAGGACTCTTCAATATCTTCATTAACGACTTAGATGAGGGAGTAGAAGGGGAACTTACCAAATTTGCAGAGGATACTAAGCTGGCAGGAATAGCTAACACCCAAGAAGATAGGCTCAAGATCCAGATGGATCTTGACGGACAAGAACACTGGGCCATATCTAACAAAATAAAATTCAATGTAGAGAAAAGTAAAGTCCTACACTTAGGCAAGAAAAGCCAAAAGTACACATATAGACTGGGTGAAACGAGGCTCAATAGCAGGAACTGTGAGAGGGATCTTGGAGTCTTAGTGGACAACCAGCTAAATAGGAGCCAGCCGTGTACAGCAGCCGCCAAAAAAGCCAATGCAATCCTAAATTGCATTAACGGAGGGATACAATCGAGATCAAGGGAGGTACTAATACCACTCTGTAAAGCCTTAGTAAGACCACACCTAGAGTACTGCATCCAGTTTTGGTCATCACACTATAAAAAAGATGTTGAGACTCTGGAAAGAGTGCCGAGAAGAGCAACCGGGATGATTAGGGGAGTGGAGACTAAAACCTATGAAGAACAGTTGCAGGAACTGGGCCTGGCTAGTCTAGGGAAGAGAAGGACCAGGGGAGACAGGAGAGCAGCCTTCCAATATTTGAGGGGCTGCCCCAGAGAGGAGGAAGGGGGTCAAGCTATTCTCCAAGGAACCCAAGGCCAGACAAGGAATCATGAATGGAAACTGAACAAGGAGAGATTCAACCTGGAAATAAGGAGAAACTTTCTGACAGGGAGAACAATCAACCAATGGAACAGAAGTTGCCTTCAGAAGTTGTGGGAGCTTCATCACTTGAGACTTTCAAGAAGAGATTAGACTCCCATCTGTCAGAAATGGTGTAGGGTCTCCTGCTTGGGCAGGGGGTTGGACTAGATGACCTACAAGGTCCCTACCAACTCTTGATTATCTGTTATCTGTAATCTTCCAACGTGTGAGTCATCGAGCCCTACCTTTCTCATGATGTGCTCTGCATATATGTTAAGTAGGCAGGGCAACAGTATATACAGTCTTCCCAGACTGCTTTCCCAATTTTGAACCAATCGGTGGTTCCGTGTCCAGTTCT